CAGTGTACTTCAGTCAATCCACCTGTTCTGCTCCCCACTCTGTCTTTGGTGAATCCTCTCACCTCCCTCCCCCACCACACCTACACCTTTGCCCTACATGCCAGCTCTTGTATGCACAAACAAATAAATCTTTAAAAAAAATTCAACAGGGCCTCCCCAGTGGCGCAGCGGTTGAGCGCTGGGTTGCGAAGCTGCCCGCAGCCTCTGCAGTGATGGTTCGATCCCCGGCTGCTCCCCGGCCACCGGAGGAGGGTCCCACATGGCGCGCAGGCCTCTCCTGCCGCCCGCTGCTCCCCTCAGCAGTGTACCTCGGTCCTTCTGCCTGCTCTGCTCCCCGCTCTGGCTCTGGTGAATTCTCTCACCCTCCCGCACTTCTGACTGTACCCAGTGCTTGTATAAACAAATAAATAAAATAAAATAAATCTTTAAAAAAAATTCAACAAAGTAAGAATAGACGGAATACCTTAGCATAATAAAGACCATATATGAAAACTCACAGTTCACATCATACTGAATAGTGAGAAACTGCAAGCTTCTCTTTTCAGATCAGAAATAAAACAAGAATGTCTTGTTTTTCTACTTCTATCAATATAGTGGAAGTTATAGCCAAAGCAATTTTGTTATGAAAAAGAAATAAAAGGCAAACAAATTTAAAAAGAAGTAAAACTATCTCTTGCAGGGGACATGATCTTATTTGTAGAAAATCCTGAATATTCCACAAAAAAAAAAACACAACAAAACAAGTGTCAGTACTAATAAACCAGTTCAGCAGAGTTGCAGGACACAACTTTTGTATAATATAAATCAATACATAAAAATCAGTTGCATTTATGTATATTAATAATCATCTGAAAATAAATTTAAGAAAGCAACTCCATTTATAACACCATAAAACAATAGAATCACTTGTGAATAAACAGGCAATCACTTGTGAATAAACAGGAAACTAAAAGTGGCAAATACATAGAAAGATACCTATGTTTGTGCATTGGAAGACTTAATATTGTCAAGATATAAACACTACCCAAAGCAATTTATATATTCAGTATAATTCCCATCAAAATCCCAGTGGTATCTTTTGCAGAATTAGAAACATTCATCATCAAATTCATATGGACTGTGACCCCATCTAGTCACAACGATACAGACCAATATAAAAGAATGAAAAAAAAAAACCAGAAATAAACCCTTGCATATATAGTCAAATGAATTTTGACAAAAGTGCCAAAACCTGTGGGGAGGGCCTCCCTGGTGGCTCAAGGGGTTAAGATGCAACCTATGAAGCTATCCGCAGCCCCTGCAGCATGAGTTCAATCCCCGGCCAGGGAGCTACCCACATGGTGCAGCAGACCTCTCCTGACTTGCCCACTGCTTCCCTCAGCAGTGCACTTTGGTCAATCTGCCTGTTCTGTTCCCCAGTCTGTCTCTGGTGAATCCTTTCACTACCACCACCACCAACACCACCACTGGGCTGTACCCCAGCTCTTTTTTTTTTTTAACATTTCATATGTATATTCTCATTTGATTGATTGATTGATTTTTATTTATACAAGCACTGGGGTACAGGCCAGAGGCGTGGGAGGGTGAGAGGATTCACCAGAGACAGAGTGGGGAGCAGAACAGGCAGATGGACCGAAGACACTGCTGAGGGGAGCAGCGGGTGAGGCAGGAGAGGTCTGCTGCGCCATGTGGGTATCTTCCTGGCTGGCCGGGAATCAAACCCACGCTGCAGAGGCTGCGGACAGCCTCACAGCGCTGTTCTCAACCCACTGTGCTACTGGGGAGGCCCTATACCCCAGTTCTTGGATGCATAAATAAATAAATCTTTTTTTTTTTTTAAAGATTTATTTATTTATTTATACAAGCACTGGGTACAGTCAGAAGCGTGGGAGGGTGAGAGATTTCACCAGAGCCAGAACGGGGAGCAGAGCAGGCAGAAGGACCGAAGTACACTGCTGAGGGGAGCAGCGGGCGGCAGGAGAGGTCTGCGCGCCATGTGGGACCCTCCTCCGGGGGCCGGGGAACAGCCGGGGATCGAACCGGCGCCGCAGAGGCCGCGGGCAGCTTCACAACCCAGCGCTCAACAGCTGCGCCACCGGGGAGACCCAATAAATCTTTTTTTAAAAACCCTATGGGGAAAGGATGGTCTCTTCAATAAGCTGTGTTGGGAAAACTGGATGTCTACAAGCAGAACAATGAGGTTAGACCATTGCTTATATCATACACAAAAATTAACTCAGTATGCATCAAAAACCTAAATGTAAGAGCTAAAGCTATATAACTCCTAGAAGATAACAGCGAAGAAAAACTTCACAATGGTGGATTTGACAATGATCTCTTGAATATGACATCAAAAGCATAAGTAATGAAAGAAAAAAATTGGGCTTTATGAAAACTTTAAAATTTTGTGCTTCAAAGGACAATATCAACAGAGATAACCTACTGAATGGTAGAAAATAGTTGCAAATCATGTATCTGATAAAAGACTAATACCCGGAATAATTATCTTCTAAAATCTCCAAAAACTCAACAAAAGAAGAAACAACCCAAATTTAAAAACAGGAAAGGGACTTGTATAGATATTTCTTCAAAGATACATAAATGACCAATTAGCAGATGAAAAAAGTGTTCAACATCAGTAATCATTAGTGAAATATAAATCAAAGCCTCAATAATATTGTTTCACATTCATTATTATAAAAACAAATTGGGGCCTCCCCAGTGTTGCAGCAGGTTGAGAGCAGTGCTGTGAAGCTGTCCTCAGCAGCACTGGTTCTATTCCCGGCTAGCCAGGGAGATTCCCACATGGCGAAGCAGACCTCGCCTGTCTCGCCCGCTGCTCCCCTCAGCAGTGTATTTCAGTCCTTCTGCTTGTTCTGCTCCCTGCTCTGTCTCTGGTGAATTCTCTCACCCTCCCACGCCTCTGGCCTGCACCCCAGTGCTTGTATAAATAAATAAATCTTTAAAAAAAAAATGGAAGGCAATAAGTGTTGGTGATGATGTGGAAAAATTGAAACTGTTGTGCACTGATGGTGGGAATAGAAAATAGTGCAGTCACTATAGAAAATAGCATGGCAGTTAATAAAAAATTAAACATTGAATGACTATATGATCCAGCATTTCTGTTTCCAGATAGATACTCTGAAGAATCAAAAGCAAATATGGACACATTTTTAAAAGATTTATTTATTTATGCATACAAGAGCTGGGGTACAGGCCAGAGGCGTTGAGGGGCGATGAGAGGATTCATCAGAGACAGAGCGGGGAACAGAACAGGCAGATCTACTGAAATACACTGCTGATGGCTTCCCTGGTGGCTCAAGGGGTTAAGTTGCAACACCATGAAGCTATCTGCAGTCACTGCAGCACAAGTTTGATTCCTGGCCAGGGAGCTACCCACACGGCGCAGCAGACCTCTCCTGTCTCACCCGCTGCTCCCCTCAGCAGAGTATTTCAGTACATCTGCCAGTTTGGCATTTTCTTAAATTCTTAAACATATAGCAGATCCTCAAATAACTATTTCATTCAACTATTTCATTCATTCATTCATTCATTCTCATCAATAACATTGATGAGAAAAACTAATCCTGGATGATGTAGCCTGAAATGGTATTATTCAAAGATCTGCTTTTGTTCAACTTCATTTTGCTTAAAGTTGCAGTTCCCAAGAACCTGTCAATGATGTTAAGTGAGGAATTACCATACACCTGTTTAGAATACAGCTATTTCACTCTTATGAATTAACCCAAGAGAAAGCAGATAGCCACACAAAAACTTGTACATGAATATTCATAGCAACTTTACTTGCAATGGCCAAAAGCTGGAAATCACTCAAAGATCCATTAACTGGAGAATGAATGATTAGACTGTGGTCCAGCCACACAATGGAATACTATTCTGCAACAGAAAGGAATGAACTATGATACACATGAGACGTGGTTAATCTCTAAAACAGCAGGTGGACAAGCTTGTTCTGTTCACGAGATATGGGGATGAAGGGACACATTAACTCCAAGCCTGCCCCTCAACCTTTTTCCCACCCCCATTTGGGCTCCTCTCTTAGCAAGGACCAGTGACCCACGGAAAGTCTGGTTCTGATGCTTGGTCATTGATTAAAAGATTGTGATGGTCACTTTTTAAGTCCAAATCTAAAGGTCTCCATAAATCAGCCCGCACAGAGGGTGAGGATTTTGGTCAGGGATGGATAGAGGCCAGATCTGGAGAGGTATGTTAGTTTCTTGTGGTTGCTATAGCTTAAAGCAATAGAAATGTATCCATTCTTACAGGCTGGAAGCCAGAAGTTTGTCATCAGGGTGTTGGCAAGACCCTTTGAAGTCTCTCGTAGAGACTCTCTCCTTGCTCTAGCCACCTTGGCACACCTTAGCTTGTGGTTGTATCACTCCAGTCTCTGCTCTGGTCTCACACGGCCTTCTCCCTGTGTGCCTGTGTGTCTGCATCTCTTTTACTCTTCTTAGAAAGGCCCATCATAACCCAGTATGCCTCATCTTAATTGAACTATGTACATCGGCCAAGACCCTATTTTCAAATAAGCTCACTTTCTGAGATTCCAGGTAGACATGAATTGGGGGGGATGTCTGAACCCCACACAGGGACTAGATTGCCAGATAAACAGAGAACATTCCCCTTGGGGTTATGGGGATCAAGACAAGTAGGTGAGCAGAAGTGGGTGCAGCCAGCTCTCAGGACTAGAGAGACCTCACAGGCTGGTATGGGGTCAGTGTGGAGAACATCGGGGTCCAGGTACACAGGGCAGTGAGGAGGGAATGTCTCAGGAGGAGCCAGGAAGACAGAGAAGCTGTGTGCCCCGAAGAGTGGTACAATGCACCCCAACTTGGGAGTTCTTGCTTCACTATGACATTTTAATCACTCAGGTTTATTTACTCACAGACTTGGGGCAAAAGACACAGAGATTCACACTCAGACCCGACGAAGATCTGACGAGGCAATCAAAAGGTTTTTTAGAGAGCACAGGCATCAAACCTCAGAGTCTGTTTATTTGGTGAAGTCTCCCACCAAGGATCAGATCCCACCCAGGCTCGCTAGGGTCATGTGACCCTGTACACCGGTGATATGTCAGCCATGGAGTCTCAGCATCGGGCAGCATCCAGGCCTGTCCCTGCCAGGCCCCACGTGCTGTGTAATACCAGGTAACCTCCCTGATCCTATTTCTTCCTCTGTAAAGTGGGTTCACAGTGGTTCTTTAATGGATAAGCTGGGAGAATTGTCCAGGCAAGAGAAGGCTGAGGACATTACTTCTCATTCTTCTTCCCCTCCTAGCCCTAAGATCAGAGATCAGATTGCCTCTGACCCACCAAGCAGGGAGGGAGATGGCAGGAGAGCTGGTATCCAACTCTCCATGAGTTTCTGGTTTGCTCTGTGACCTTGGCAACTTGCTGCCCCTTTCCAGACCTCAGTTTCCCTGCCCTAAAATGGAGTGCAGCGGGTTGGGACCAAAGACCTCCAAAATCCTTGCTAAGGTTCTGATAGTTCCAGAAAAATAATAAAGGGGTTGTCTTTCTCAGACTCTAATATTGGGTCTGGGGGTTTTCTATGTTGTCCAGAGGGGACACCAACATCTTTCTCTTGTAGGCAGAGGAAAATCTGGCCTTTTGGGTGGGGATAGGAAGGGATGTAGCATCTAAGACTAGGGGCTGCAGGAAGCAGGGGGTGGGATAAAGTGACCTTCTGGAGGCAGGGCTTTGCCTCTTCCCACAAGACTTGCACTACAGCCCCAAATTAATTTGTATATGACACACTGGCCCCTGGCCTGGGATAGGCCACTGAGATTCTGTCCCAGGTGGTCAGTCCTGCACTGGCCCTGTGCTCAGAGGTCTGTCTCCCTCGTATCATGACCACAATCTTGTCCACTGCCAGGGATTGAGGAGCCAGGCCCCTTCACCTCCTTCTGCCCCAGGAAGAGCAGATGTTCCTCATCAGTGGGCAGGAAGTCAGGGGGCCTCTTGGCTTTGGAGGTCAGTTCCTCAGTCCCCTGGGAAGAGGAGAATAGAAAGATCCATCAGGGACTCCATTTCTGCTCTGTCAAATTCTGTTGTGTCAAGTTCTGAAGGGGACACTGAAGGCCTCGGAGGATAGGGCCTAGGAGGAGTTGTACAGTGCACAAGTCAATCCTATCCCCTTGTTTCCAAAACCTCCATTTACTTCTCTCCCCAACGCCCAGGACACCCACAATCCCAGTCATTAGTGCTTGCAGGGATGCCTTACTCTCCTCTCTCTGTCTCTTCAGGAAATTAAATATTTGCTCACAGCAGCTGGAGGGAGTTTTAAAACATGTCACGTAATTCCCTTCACTTTCCAGCCCTCCCCCTATCAAGTCCGTGGCCTTAGGACCTTTGCACATGATGTGCCCACCAGAAAATGCCCTTCCCTCAGATCTTCATATCACTGGTTCCTTTTCTCATTCTAGGAAGCCACTCCATCACAATATTCTGTTTTATTGTCTTCCTAATACTTATCACCTGCTGAGATACTACTTGTTTCTGGGTTTAGCTTTCATTTCCCTCCCTCATTCCTGCCTATGAGGTAGGCTAGAGCCCAGCCCAGAGCAGGGTACATGCAGGTGCTTTAAAAATGAAAAAAAATGGGGCCTTCTTGGTGGTGCCGAGGTTAAAGTCTAAGAGCTAACAAGCTATCACCAGCCACTGCAGCCAGGGAGCAACCCACATGGCACAGCAGACCTCTCCTGTCTCACCTTCTGCTCTCCTCAGCAGTGTTTTTCAGTAGATCTGCCTGTTCTGTTCCCCATTCTGTCTCTGGTGAATCTTCTCACCCCCCCCCACCTCTTGCCAACACCCCAGTTCTTTCATGCATAAATAAATAAAAATTAAATCTGAAAAAAAAAAAAAAAAAAAGAAACAGGAAATCCAATACCAGATAGGCTTAGTATCAGGCCCCCTCTACCCCTAAGACAATGTTTCCTAAACTCAGGGCCATTCACACAGCAACCACTGGGTTTTAGCTAAAGTTGGTCTACTGCCTGTTATGTTTTTAATAGAAGATTTTCTCTAAGTTGATTCATTTTTGAATTAAGTGATCTTATTTTCAGAAGGGACTTTATAGCGATACCCTAAAGGCAAACCAATTTCATGTACCATAGAATGGAATTAATTGTAAAAACAGAAATGATGAAAATGGATAGTATTCTGCTCACTCCTTGTCAAAGGGGAAAATGGAAAGTGTTGAAGACACATCAGTTCCCACTCAAGCTTTTCTACTGGACGTAAAAAGACTCACCATGTCCCACCTCTGAGTTATGACCATGCCCCAAGCACCCAAAGCCACTTCTCTGACCCTCCCCACACACCAACCATGAGACTGACCTTCACCAAGCTGTCATCCAGGGTGGCCACTTCTTCCTTAGGAGCCACTGATGCTGTTTGCCGTTCGAGATCCCACCACAGCAGCCCGGGGCCCAGGGCACTACGCTTGGTGGGGCCTAGGGGGCAGAGGGAAGTGGAGGCATCTAGGAAAGTGACTTCTCTTTATCTCTTTCCGCTTCTCCTGGGATGAGTGCCCTGTGAACCTTGCCCTGACAAGAAATTTCAGCACCAGGGACAGCGCTTCAAGTCTCATGCTATCTGTCAGCAAGGACTTCGGGAAGGGACTGAAAAGGTTAGTAGGGTGTGGCTCACTTTCTATCTTTGCAAAATAAGGCAATCCCTGTGAGGTGACTGTTGTCCTGAAGACGACACAGCATAAAGGATGCAGAAGTGTCCTGTAAGCAGTGAACACTTGGCAGAAGGGAGTACCCTTCCTCACCTTTCCCCTGGTGGGCCCCAGAGGCAGAGAGGGATGGAGAAGGTAATCTCTGAGGGGGTCAGTAGCCCTGCTTACCCGTCAGGCAGCTGATGAAGGCTCCGCACAGGACAGTGCACAGTGTTCCCAGGGCACCATAATAGAGATAGGAGATGGCATAGAAACTGTCAGCTAAGGCTGGCCGACTGGAGTCCATTCCTAGGCTGGAGGTATGAGAGGTGGGGGCATGAGTCCAAAAGCCACTCCCAATCCATTCATTTCCTCTAGCCTCCACTTTATATATTTATATATAAAGAATATATAAACTATAATTCAACAATAAAAACAGGGCCTCCCTGGTGGCGCAAGGGGTTAAGCACCGCTCTATGAAGAATTCGAAGCCTCTGCAGCATGAGTTCAATCCCCGGCCAGCCAGGGAGCTATCCACATGGCATAGCAGACCTCTCCTGTCTCGCCCACTGCTCCTCTCAGCAGTGTATTTCAGTCAGTCTGCCTGTTCTGCTCCCCACTCTGTCTCTGGTGAATCCTCTCACCCTCCACATCTCTGGCCTGTACCCCAGCTCTTGTATGCATAAATAAATGAATCTTTTAAAAAAAAAACAATAAAAATAAATGACCCAAGTAAAAATGGGCAAAGGATTTGGATAGATATTCCTTCAAAGAAGATGAGCAAACGGCCAACTAACACATGAAAAGATCTTTAACATCATTAGCCATGAGGCCTCCCTGGTGGTGCAGGGGTAAAGACAGTGCTATCAAGCTACTGCCAGCCACTACAACATGAGTTAGATCCCCAGCCGGCCAGGGAGCTGACCCACATGCCCAGCAGACCTCTCCTGTCTTGCCCGCTGCTCCCCTCAGCAGTGTATTTCAGTACATCTGTTTGTTCTGTTCCCCACTCTGTCTCTGGTGAATCCTCTCACCCCCTGCACTTCTGGCCAACACCCCAGTTCTTGTATGCATAAATAAATAAATCTTTTTAAAAAATCATTAGTCATGAGGGAAATGCAATCAGAACCACAATGAGATATCACTTTGTACCCACTAAGATGGTTAGAATAAAAATGGGAGGCCTCATATGGTGGCCCAGGCAGTTAAGCGCTGTGCTGTGAAGCTGTCCGCAGTCTCTGCAGCATGGGTTCGATCCTGGCTGACCGGCAAGGGTCCCACATGGCGTGGCAGAACACTCCTGTCAGGTATGCTGCTCCCCTCAGCAGTGTATTTCAGTCCTTCTACCTGTTCTGTTCCCCGCTCTGTCTCTGGTGTATCCTCTTACCCTCCCACGCATCTGGCCTGTACCCCAGTTCTTGTGTAAATGAATAAATAAATCTTTTTTTAAAAAAAGAATAAAAATGGGAAATAACACATATTTGTAACAATATGGAGAAATTGGAGTCCTCATACATTGCTGATGGGAATGAAAAATGGTACAGCCACTGTGGAAAAGTCTGGTGGTTCCTCTAAATGTAAAATATAGATTTAATATATCCTCCAGCAATTCCACTCCTAAAACTCCAAGAGAAAAGAAAACACGCCTGCATCAAAATTTGCCCACCAATGTTCACATTAGCATTATTCATGATAATCAAGAAGCAGAATCATCCCAAGCAGACAGCAACAGAAGAATGGACAAACAAAACATGGTTTATCCATCAATGCAGCTATTATTCAGTTACAGAAAGGAATGGAGCACTGAGCCATGCTGCAATGTAGATGGACCTCAAAACATCATGTGGAGTGAAACCCTCACAAAAGGCCATATATTCTTTGATTCACTTACATGAAATGTCTAGAACAGGCAAACCCATAGTAACAGGAAATGGATGAGTGGTTGCCAAGGGCTAGAGGAAGGCTGAAATGGGGAGTAACTGTTTTGAGGTGATGAAAATATTTTTGAGTTAGAGAGTGGTGATGGTCGCATAATCTTGTGAGTGTACAGTCATGTGTCACCTGACAACACTTAGGTCAGGGGTGGACCACATAGACAGTGGTAAGTCCCAATAGGCTGCACCATGTAGCAGGCTGTATCATAAAGGTTTGTGGAATTACACTCTAAGATGTTGATGCAACAATGAAATTGTCTAATGACATGTTTCTCAGAATGCGCCCCTGCTGTTAAGTGATGCATGATCTAAAAAAAACAACACCTTTAAGTGACTAATTATATGGTGTATGAGATATATTTCACTGAAATAAATAATCAGCCCAAATTTCTCTTTTTGGACTTCATCTCCTATCCTTTTCTCCTCCCCTTAAGTCTACCCCAACCTCTCCGTAGCCAGAATGCACTAAACTGAACATGCCTCAGGGTCTTTGCACTTGCACTTTCTACCCGGGTGGTAGGATGTCCTTCCCTCACCTCTTCTCAAGTTAGGCTCCTCCTCGTTTGTGACTCAGTGGAAAGGTCTCTCCCTGACCACAACCCCCGGGTCATGCCTTCCCCTTAGAGCAGCCCTCTTACCTGGGGGCCCAGTCGGACACGTTGACTGTGAGGGGCACACTCAGGAGGCTAGAGGCATTGGCTGAGGGCACCCTGCAGCTGGTGGCCGAGGAGGGCAATACCCCCATGGACTGTGCGCTGGGTGGGTACAGAGTGGCACCCAGGGCCACCCAGAGTGAGAGAGCCAATCCAGCAGCCAGCCCAGAGAGGACACCCTGGGAGCAGAGCCAGAGTCAGCTGGTGGTGTATCAGGTCATGTGCCCCCCCCATTCCCCGGCCCGGCCTCCCACCCTCTACTCACTGATGTGTTGCAGGCTGGGATGAACATTCCCAGGATGAAGGCTCCAAGGAGGGGGCCACTGATGACTCCCATGACAGTGAAGGAACCCTGGGAAAGTGGGGGAGTTGTGGTGAGGGTGGAGCTTCCCCACCCCCTTGGCCTCAGTTTACCTACTGGGAAAGCAAGACCTGAGGAATTCCACTGTGGGACTTCCAATTTCTCTGTGCCTTGATTTCCCTAAAGGGGAGGGGTATTCCTGAATTGGAGGCAAAGACGCTGTTGCTCTTTCCTGATTAATGTGCTCCTACCTCAAAGCCAGGGTGCCACCCTCCACCTCCTACCTTCCCTCCTTCCAGCCAGGTCACTGCAGGAAATATCCGATTGGTGGTGTCAGACAAAATCCAGTTCTGCCACCAACACTATGAACCCCTCTAAGCCTCCTTAAAAGTTCACGATACCTCAACACTCAGGAGATGGGGCAGGTGGGGCTGGGAGCTTACCTGGAGGACTCCACCCCCCAGCAACGATGACAGAGCTGCCACTGTGATACAGGCGGTTCCATAGATGAGTGCTGTAGTGGGTGGGGGTGGCACTGTCAGCAGGGAGAGGTCACCTTGACCCTCCCAAATCCCATATTCTCCAACTCACAGAGGCCCTTGGATATGATTACGAGTCTCCGGGGTGACAAGTTAGGCATCCGTGGTTTGATGAGGTCCTCCACTGTGACCGCAGCCATGGCATTAATGCTGGTGGATGCAGTGCTGGGGGTGCAAAGCCGGGGTCTTCAGCCACAATAGAGACAGGCTACCACCCCAACTGCCTACACCATCTGGCCTGCAGAACGCCAGCCAGCCCAAGGGCAGAGGTGTGGTGACACTCAAGAAGGGAGATGTCACTCACCCCACTCCATTTCTGCAGGCCTCAGACACCCCCACAGAAGCAAAGCCACCCTAGACCAAGGATCAGAATGACAGAAGCAATAATGGGGCACAAAGAACTGACCTGTGGGACTCTGGTCCTGGAAAGAGCAGGTGTGGCCAGAAGCCACAGGAGATTTGCAATAACTAGAATATGGGCCCACCGCCAAAGGCAGCAGTGGGAGACTGCTGAGTCATAGTGTGACCTAGGATTTAGAATAGCACTGCCTGCCACATTGTAGGTGTTCAATACACACTTGCTTTGGGGAAGAAGAAAAGGAGGGAGAAGAGGCAGATGTGACCCTGTTGGGTGGCAAGAAAATATAGACTTCACCATTGGGGTTCCTGTGCTCAGGGCATGCCCTCTGCTGGAGTCCCCCTGAGCTGCCCACTGGAGATGACACAGGAACTGTAAATAATGGGCATGCCCAGAACATTCTATCCAGAAGGGGGATGCTCAGTAGGGGCAAGGAGGCTCAGAGGGGCTTAACAGTGGTGGGGTGAGAAAGCAGGGTGGCTCACCTGAGGGTGCCGCTGTAGGCACAGGCCAGAAAGAGCCCCGGGATTCCAGGCAGGCCCTCGAAGATGTCCAGCACCATCAGGGGCATGTACTGAGGGGATTCAGGAGTAAACCTCCAAGAAGTCATTCCCCAAGAGCAGGAATTTCTGTCTGTCCTCACCCTGCATGTCCCCAGTGCCCAGTGCAGACTGGGCTAACAGTGGGCATTTAGTGCATTTATTGACTGCAGCATGCACCTGAACCCCACTGTGTGCCAAGCTCTGGCTTTACTGTTGAGGACAGTAAGGCTGAAGAGATTCAGAGCCTGCCTGAGTTTGCACAGTTGGTTGTGGCCAGGTTCTGACTCTGAGAGGATAGCAATGGGATGGCCTTGCAGCCTCTGCCAACTTTGAACCCTGAAGTCAGAGCTGCAACCAGATATCATTCAGACAGGGACACTGCTCCTGACTTGCCTTCAGGTCTCAGGCATTTACTCTCCAACCCCTTCAGCCCAGTTTTCTCATCTGTGAAGTGGGGACCATGACCATCTTGGCCTCAGGACATGCGAAACTAACTCCTTTTGCGTGGAACAGCATGAAGCACAGAGTAGACGCTGGTCATTACTAACATGAGCACCATCATTTCACACTTGATGATGGTCCCAACTCCTTGATATCTCTCAGGTGGTCTCTGACTCTAGACCTGAATGTGCCACTCCCTCCTTACATACACCCTTGTGACAACCCATAGCCTCGTGGCCTCATCTTTTCTATGCCATGAAGATCCTTCTCCGAGCCAAGGTCTTTTCTATCTCTACACAGGCCATTCTCTCTGTTAGGAATGCTCTTCCACCATTACCCTCCCTCAGAGTTTCATCCATTCAGAAGCTCAGAGTAGGATGTGGGAGTAGCCTAGGAGCCTGGGCCAAACTCACCTGGTCAGGGGCAGAGATACGCCCTGAAAGAAGAGGGTCACAGTCAATGTAGAGTGTGAACATCATGATGCCACAGCCAGCGGCGCTGGACACGATCAGGAATAGGCCCAGCTGGTTGATGATCAGGGCCCTGGAGGAAGGGGCAGCCTCAGGCTGGGGAGAGGGGTGGGCAGCACATCTCAGAAGCCCACATCCCTCCCTCCCAAACACTCACAGCTTGGCCTCCTTCTCTGTTCGACAAGCAACATAGCGCTGCACCTGTGCTTGGTTCACGCCATACATTGAGAGCCACACCAATGTGCCACCCACTACAAAAGTCCAGAATGTGTAGCGGCTCCTTGGGTCCAGATCGAAGCTGGATGAGGAAAGAACAAGTCAGCCATGTGTGGACGCCACATCGACTTCTAGCTCCCAATGGCCCCAGATGGCCATTCTGGACCTTATATAAAGGCCTTATGGGAACAACTGGGGTGGGTGTCGAAGTGTTAATAGGAGTTTGCCATATTGAAAATTAATTTGTTTATGAAGTCATCTATGTTTGCATCCAAAAGCCATCCTTTCTGTACCCAGCTGGGACCTTGGAGAGGTTTCAGCCCCCAGTCTGGGCTGGAACCTAAGCGGGGGTGGTGGACAGAAGTCTGGGCCAGATGGAAAGATGCGGAGGGGGGTAGAGGAGTACAGAGAGCGAGAGCCAGGTTTGATCTACAGGGAGGCTGGGAGGAGGAGGAAGGAGGGAGTCTGGAGGTAGGAGGCATTAGTTGACTTCTCCCATGACAGAGGGGTGCCAGCAGAATCCTTTTGTAATACATTCACTTACTCCATCAAGTTGATCCGGGAGTGGTTCTGGGCAAGCTCCAGCATGTGCTGGCCCCCTCCTACAAGTATGGTCCCTCGGGCCAAGATGACCCAGAAGCCTGTCAGCATCACTACCACCTGGAACACGTCAGTCCAGACCACAGCCTTCATGCCGCCCTGCAAGATGTGATGGAAAGGGGGGAGGTCAGAAAGGGACCTGTTTGGGGCCTTTGGAGCAGTGCAGAGGGGGGAATAAAAGGGGTTAGATGGGGGAAACTGCCTGGGGCCAACCCAGCTTGGCCTCCAGAAGTGGGCTGAGATAGATGCCCCTCTCTGCCTCAGTTTCCTCATCTGTAAAATGGAATTAATAATCATACCTCCTTTTGGTGGTGGTGTAAGGATTACAATAGTTAATAAAAGACTATGGAACAGAACCTAGCACATACAAGTGCTCAGGAAGTGGCTGCTGCCATTACTATTACTATTATTGTTGTTGTTTTTACCTGTTTAAGCCTTTACCTTCCTGTGGCAGAGCCTGGATTTTTCCTTTAAATAAGCCCCTCCCCCTCTCACTGGACATTCTAATGAGGCTAACCCCTCCTCTAGCTCAAAGAATAGCCAATAGAGGGGCCTCCCTGGTGGTGCAGGGGTTAAACACAGCACTATGAAGCCATCACCAGCCACTGCAGCATGAGTTCAATCCCCAGCCCGGCCAGGGAGCAACCCACATGGCACAGCAGACCTCTCCTGCCTCGCCCGCTGCTCCCCTCAGCAGTGTATTTCAGTAGATCTGCCTGTTCTGCTCCCCACTCTGTCTCTGGTGAATCCTCTCAACCCCTCCCCACACTTCTGGATTACACTCCAGTTCTTGCATGCATAAATAAATAAATCTTTAAAAAAAATAGCCAATAGAACATCCCAGCTCCACTGGGAATGACTTATCCTACGTGATAGGCAGAGGTAGACAAACAGAGCACTACTGGAGCTTCAGACAACCCCTGCTGAAATAGGGTCTTTCTGCTGAACTTGAAGTCAATAGGGGTGGAAGCCCTGATGGGACCCCAAGAGATGGGAGATGGATCCAGAGATGCTGTGGCAGCCCCTAGATCCACAGAGACCTGAAGTTAACATAATCTTGGGTTCTCAGCAATGAGTCTTTCAAATCACCTCTCATTATAAAGATGAGGAAACCCTGGCAAGGGGGTTTCCTCAAGAGCAAAGGAAGGTCTGTGCCCAGGGTCACCCCCACCCTGTGGGCATGGAGCCACCACGTGGGTTAGATAGGGGACACTCACCACAGTTGTGTAGAAGGTGCAGATGACTCCGGTGGACAGGAGCGATGCCCAGATGTCTAGGCCGGTGACTGTGCAAGAACACCCCACCCCATTAGGCCACGGAGAGAGTATCAAACCTGTGCCAGTGTCTGGGGTCCTTCCCTCCAAGATTTTTGCCTCCCAAGTCTCTCCTGGAACTACCTTCCCCCCCTACCCCAGCTTCTAAGCCTTTGCCCCTTCCCGGACACCCTCCCCTGCTCTCCCCAAATCAAACCCTGGTTCAGAATGAGCGCCGGGGCGTATATCACGATGCCAGTGTACAGCACCTGCAGGTAGAGGGCGGGCAGGTGAGGTGGAAGGGAGTGGGGTTGCCTCCAGGACTCAGGGACTGAGAGCTGGGGGGAAAGGGTGGAAGTCCCGGCTCTGAGTAGGGACAGATGGGCGGGGCCGCGCAGGTAGGGGTGGGGTGAAGCACAAAGACTGGTCGGTGAGGGAGGGTGGGAACTACAAGAATTGCAACCAGATCCGGCAGGCGGGGAGCCGGGTCACATAGGGTCCCCGGGCCGAACTCTAAGACGGGAAGGCTGGGCCTGAGGCTGGTTGGGGGGAGTGTCTTGTCCTGGCAGTGCAGAATGAGGGAGAGTGGTGACCGGTGAGGGCGGGGCCAAGGCCACTTACCGTGGCTATCAGGTACTGTATGGTCCCGCAGAGTCGCACAGCGCGGCAGAAGCGCAGCTCCAGGTACTGCAAGGAGGAACCCAGGATGATGGTTCCCTGGGCAGGTCCTAACCAGAGTCCCGAGGCCCCTGCAGTCCTTCACCCGCCCTCTAGATTTCTGCCTTCTCTCCCGAGGCCAACTGAGCTTTCCGCACTCTAATCCTGGTCACGCACACGTACCCTGACCTGTCAGCACACACCTGTGCACACGCGCCATTTCCGCGCGCGTGCACACGGCAGGTGCCGAGAGAATCGATGCATCAAGTGTGCAGAGTCTTTCCTGACCATCACTGGTGGCTTGTCTGCCCCTGGAGTGGCCGCAGCTCTGAGAATTTGAACGTATCAACATATGCAAGACACAGCAGTGCCCTCTTTTGTTACTGGCAGTCAAGCCAGAGAATTTTAATCACTTTACGGACTGTTCTTTTAGCTGGATATGACTTTTGGGAGACTCCAGCAGAGAATTGCACTGCTCACCTACCACAGATGGCAGAGGAGAAGTCGGGTTTAGCACTGGGAGCTGGCAGTTGTCCTCGCTGCCAGCACACAAGTCCAGGGCAGAGTGTGCCCCTCCACATGTGAGTACCTCTGATTAAGCCTGGCCCTGGCCCTGGCCTGGGCTTGCTTCCACAGAAGAGAACCAGGATGTGCCCCCCTCTCTTCCTCCTTCTTGCCACTTACCCCACTGCCTGCAGCTACTTCCCAGAACACTTCCTGCCCGGCTGCCTGGCTGCCTGGAGGGGGGAGGGGGAGCCAGGAAGCAACTAGGAGCCCGCCTGCATACCCCTGCATACACCTTTTAAAGCCCACAGGACCTGCCCTGCGTTCTGGGTCCAAAGCCAAGGCAGGTTCTGACCCAGGGCTTCTCTCCCCTACCTGGTAGGTGCTGGTAAGGCCCAGGCGGTAGAAGACGGGCAGGAAGAGCACTGCGGTGAGCAGGGTGTTGAACACCTGGCCCAGGCACATCCAGAGGAACTTGAGGCCATAGCGATAGGCCTCAGCTGGCACGCCCAGCACCTGCACTGCTGACATGAAGCTGGCGGCCAGAGAGAGACCAACGGGCAGGGCTGTCAGGTCCCGGCCCCCTGTGAAGAAGTCGTCGGCGGTGCGCTGCTTGCCCCTTGCCAACCCAACCCACAGCCCGATGCCCGTGGACACCAGCAGCATGAGGGCAAAAACCCCATAGTCCCAAGCTCCGAAAGTGGCCTGTGCCCCTGCCTTGACAACGGCCATGAGGTGCAGGTGCAGGTTCCAGGCGCGTGCGAGGGAAACTGGCAGTGGTCAGGGAGGCAGGGCTGTGGACATGGGAGGATGCTTGGTCTCTCCAGGCAAGGCCACGTCTGGCTCCTCGGTGCCAAACTCAGTGAAAGGGGCCCGGGTGGAAGCCAGAGCTCCAGGGCCAAGGATCTGTGGCTCCTCACTGCGGTAGCCGGCCTCTCTCTAGCCTTCACCGTCTGCGTCTGTCCACTTTGCCTCCCACTCGGTGGGGCTGCACTGAGCAACCACCTGTCCACACTGGCTGTCTGTCCCTCCCTGGCTCACCACTGACAACTGGAGGTCTCTTTGGGACTTAAAGATGCATCTCTCGGTGGCACAGCCGCAGTGGCAGCAGCAGGGGCGGGCTGTGGATTTATTGGGCTCCTCAGTAAGCAAAACTCCTCCCCCAGACCTAGGGGCGGGCAGGACCCGCACCCTTTCCGCCCTGGACTGGATCAGACAGGCCCCAACAGGTCACAATGGGTGGCTGCTGGGGAGGGGATGTGGAGGCTCCCAAATACCTCACTTGTTGAGGGATATTCTCTGTGCTCACCGGCTGTTAATGTCTCCTCTTGGTAAGTGAGGAAACTGAGGCTCAAAGATGGCAAGTTGCTCGTGGGATGCCACACAGTGGGAGCTGGGGCCTCAGCATACCAATCTCCGCTATACTTTTGTACCTTGCGCTACAGGGAACTCTGGAATGGGTTTTATTTTCAGGATTGAGGAAAATTCCGGTAAGTAAAATTCACTCCACTTAAATGCTGCCACCCACAACAGCACCGGACACACCCCCCTCATCTAGGGCCCGGTGAGGGAATCCCTGAAACCACCATCCTCCTCCTCCCCGCCCTCAGGCTGGGTGAGACATTGTGGTTCCAGTCCTCAGTGCACACGTACTTGAGGAAGCCAAGGGATAAAATAGCCGCTGCCTCAGAGAAATAAATTAAATCTGCATATCATAATCCTGGCATGTAAATGCCTTTCATTTGTCCTTCATTCATTCATTGGTTCCTTCATTAAAGAGGCACTGAGTGTCATGAGCCAGGCAGAGGTGTATAATGGAGGTCATTTGGGGGGGGGGCGGGTGGAATTCATTGGCCATGAATTCCCCAAAAGGGAGACCCTAGGCAGGTAGTATCTGCCAAATCTGTATTGTACAAAGAAAATTGAGGGCCTCCCTGGTGGCACAAGGGGTTAAGATGCAGCCTATGAGGCTGTCCGCAGCCACTGCAGCACGAGTTCCATCCCCGGTCAGGGAGCTGCTCACATGGCGCAACAGACCTCTCCTGTCTTGCCCGCTGCTCCCCTCAGCAGTGTATTTCAGTAGATCTGCCTGTTCTGTTCCCCAGTCTCTGGTGAATCCTCTCACCGCCCCCCCAACACCTCTGGCCTGTACCCCAGTGCTTGTATGCATAAATAAATCTTTAAAAAAAAAAAAAAGGGAAGGAAACTGAGTTATGAGATCTGGTTTCACCCAGCCAAAGGTCCAGGAAATGTCATCTTGGGGCCCTTTGTTGGTGGACCACAAAAGATTTTGCTCTCTGGAAGCTCTAAATTCAAGTCTTTGACTTGACCTCCTGCTTGCTGACTGAGGGAGAATCCCTCCTTCATAAGGGGGTGGGATCTAAAAAGTAGCCTGGGGGCCTCCCCTGGTGGCGCAGAGGTTAAGTGCTGGGCTGCCGAGTCTGCAACTCAGCCAGCGAGGGTCCCAAAAAAAAAAAAAAAAAAAAAAGATAAAAAGTAGCCTGGGGGCCTCACTGGTCGTGCAGGGGTTAAAGTTTCAGTGCTATCAAGCTATCCCCAGCCACTGCTGCATGAGTTGTTCGTTCCCTGCCAGGGAACTAAGCCATATGGCACAGCAGACAACTCCTTTCTCACCCTCAGCAGTCTATTTCAGTAGATCCACCTATTCTGTTCCCCACTCTGTCTCTGGTGAACACTCTCAGCCCCCACACCTCTGGCCTACACCCCTGCTGGCATCCAGGAGTCCTCCAGGGTCTCTGCCACCCCCTGGTGGCCTTCTCTAGCCTACAGTCGGCACCTCACCAGGGTCCTGAGTTCCTCAGGCCAGGGAAAATCTCTCTGTGCCCCTCCTCATGGTGCGTGACACTGGGTCCTCCCCTACCTTGTGGGGGAGAGGATCCATGCTGCAAACTAAAGGCAGAGCTGAGGCCCATTCTTTGTGTCCCTATCTCCTGGGGGGTGAGCACACTCACCCACTGAGAATTAGCCAAGCTTGCAGGGAGCTGGAAAGGCACTTCAGGCCATGGTAACTTACAATGCTAAGGTCTTGAAATGGGACGCGCAGTGAGACAAGGCATATGCTGGAATGAGGAGGTTCACATGGGGACCTTGCCAGTGTTAAGGAGGGGTATGGATTTTGTTCTGAGGATGATGGGGAAGCCACTGGGGAACCTGGAGCAAATGAGGACTAAGATTTCTAGATTCTAAAAACTCACCATTGTCTTAGGCTGAGGCTGCCAAGTAAGTGAATGGATTCTGTACAGGTTCTTAAGTTCCAATACAAGGGCATGGCATTGCCCTGCAGGATGGTTATCTTGCACCCAGTGGGGAAGGGAGGTCATGGCACTGGCACAGAGCCTCGCAGGAAGTAGGGTGGGGAGACGGAGGCCCAACCCTCCCTGACTAGGATTCCAATTGTCAATGGGAGGGTGGAAGGCTGGGAGGGGAGGCACCAGGATGAGTAGATTGAGGCCCTACATACTACCCCTCCCCTCCCTTAAGTGTATAGGGGTGGGGGGCATGGTGACTCCCTGCAGCTGCAATCTGAGGGCAGAAATATGGGGATACTGTATGGGTACTGCTGCCCTCAACCTGCAGGTCCCCTGGGTACCAGCAGTGCTCCCAATGCCCACCCTCTGCCCCTATCTTGAATAAATATCACTGTCACTAAACTTCTGCCCTGTATGCCATGAAGCCATTATCAATGGTGCTGCCAGTCTAAATTTCCCTGAGGTCTCAAAGGCCCCAACAGATTGTTTCTCCAGCTCCAGGAACTGGGTCAGGCCTCTCACACCACCCCCTTATCTTGCCTTGGTGCCTGACTCAGGAGGGAGGTGCAGATCTCTCCCCTGGACTCCCAGTCCTGCCCAGGAAGGACCCAAGAGCAGAGGCCTGCCCTCACCCTTGGGCTGGCTGGTGTGCCTGAACAAGAGCTGCCCCTCCCCAGGCCCCAGCTGGCGCAGAGGGGGTAAGCAATCCCTGTGGCCACCTTGCGTGAGTTCCATGCACAGCCATGTGGAAGGACCCTTTGCCTTCTAATTCTTGTTGGCCTCTGCAGCCTGGCAATCCCTTTGGAGAGAACTCAACTCAGTGGGCATCACCCCTAGCCAGCAGCAGCTTGAGGGGAGTTAGGTGGGTGATTAGACAGTAGGGCATCTGTGGGCCAACTTCTGAGTAGTTGGCAGGGAGAGTGAATGCACAAGTACAGGTCAGGAAACTGGGTTCACTCAGCTGTAGTTCAAGGGTCCCCCAGTAAGATCAACTCCACAACTGGATAACCTGTGACAGGGATGCTTTGGCGGAGCTGCAAGGTGGCCTCTGTGGGACCCAAGCCTTTCCTGGCAGCATATTGCCCTGGCCCCTTAATCATGACTAGTCTTCCTACCCCACACTCCCACTTCACACTGAAGAGAGTAGGACTAGTGGGCAGACAACTTGAGGCACAGAGATGAGGGTCAGCTCTAGGCCCTAACAGAGGATAAGTAGGCAGGACTGGTGTTTCCTTCTCCCTTGGTTTTAGAGATGCTACAGGCAGGGGGCTCAGGCCTAAGGGAGTATACTCCCACTTGCTGCTTCATCATGGCTTCCTGAAGGCCAGCCTTGGCTTCAGGAGCATGGGCTGATCTGCCTCAATTCCAGCCAGAATAGCACTTCCTGAAGACTGCACGTCACTACTGCTCAATCCCTACTGCTCTTTCCATCCCTAACCGAGAGGACAAGTGACATCTAAACTTGTCTCTAAAGGTCTCTGGAGTAACCAGGAGTTCCTGTCAGAAACCCCTGAATATTAACAAAATCAACTAGGTAAAAACTGAGCTGATCCAGTATCCTGGGAAAAAAGCACCTGCAACATATTAAGAACCTTATTCTCCCGAGCTTGTCCTATACGGGTGGTTTTGTAAGAGACCACAGTTCATAAGGAAAAGAAATGAAGTTCCTAAGAATGACTTTTAAGTGTCTTTCACAGAAAAATAGATTCAAATCCTAAAATGTCTTATCAGTCTAACCCAGTGTTGGCAAGGCTGCTGGGAGAATAACTGGCACACAGATAAGGTGGCATTTAAAGCCAAAATCAAGGTTGTCCCACCACCACCAGGTCCAGGAATTTATATCCCAGTTGGGGTGTGTGTGTGTGTGTGGGTGGCAGAACACTTAGTAAGTCATGGAAAGTCATGTGGCTTACCACCTTGGAGAGGCCAACCCACCAGTGGCAGCTGTGGTCCCAGCACCTAGCCAGGACCCAGACCATCCCCAGGTGGTCTTATGAATGGCAAGCACAGGTGGGATTTGAAGTGAACTGCTTTTCTAGAAAACAGTTGGGTATATCATTCCTGCGTGACCTTCAAAATCGGGAAAGGAGAGTTGTGCATACCCTCCTCCATCCCCTGCCGTCCTGAATGACTGGTGTCCCCAGCTCCTGCGGTCAATGTGGTTGGTGCTCTGACCTGAAGAGGACACCAAAGCTCACAGGGCCGGGGCGGCCCAAGTCATGGAAAAGGTGAGGCTCCAAGGTCTAAGCCCTCTGTGTGCCCTACCTTCCTGAGCCCTGAGGGATCAAGCAGGGCAGTCACTCCCAATGTGGGATTAGCTTCATGCCTGGAATTCCCAGGCCTCAAATGTTTCCTGGAGACAGAAGCCTGCTCAGCAAGACTGACATCTGTGGGCAGGATTAGGGAGTGTTATTCAGGGGCCGCCAGTGGGGGAAGGGGAAACCACCTCAGCAGAGCAGGTTGGTGGCCTCTGAGACACCCTCCTTCTATCTGCTGAGGACAGAGAACCTCTACTAGGCCAGATGGGCAGTCCCAAATGGAATGACCACCCCACCATCCCAATTTCCCCAGGGTCCTGTCTACTACATTTCACCAGCAGCAACAACAGAGTTGAATGGCAGTAAAGAAGCTAGGGATGGGCCTTCACCATTCCTGGGGTTCTCCTCCTGGACAACCAGGTGCCTGTGTCCCACTTCAGGAGAAGGGCCCCCCAACCCAAAGCAGAGAACTCACAGCTTGACTACACCCTTTTGAGTTCTGCAGGGTGTGCAAAGAAAACAACTGTGTGTTAGCACCCGGGTTTCCCAGGACTTTATTTGTGCAGAGCCAAGATGGAGAGGGCCTTGCATCTAAAAGAAGGTGTTGGGCCTCTTGGTGGTGAAGCGTGGTTTGTGCTGGCGACGCAGAACCCGGTGGGGCAGTGGGAACTTGATCTTCGAGTCCTGAGATAAGGAGAGGAGGGTTAGAGGTGGAGGTCTTTTAATTTCATCCTCTGGGGTCACTGAGGTGTGGCCAACCCCCACTGGGCTCCTGCGTCAGATCTGGTTTCCCCCACCCAAGCCCAGCGTGTCCTAGAGCACTCACGTGGAACTGCTTGACTGCTGGCCGGCGGCATTTGCTTGCAGCTATCTCCTCCACCTTCATGATCTGGATGGAGTGGGCCCGGGCACGGTGCCGGGCACCCATATCTCGGTCTACAGAGAGCAGGTGAGTGAGGTCAGGGTTTCTGTGTTTCCCCAACTTCCCACCAAGTGCCCACTGGAGAGGGGGCCCATCTGCAGGATGAGTGACTGCAGTCCCTGGCACAAACCACCAGGGGTGTAGAACCTCCGAATTCACTTTCAGGGGCACAGACACAGCCCCCCAAAGGCGACAAGATCCGATTGCTGTCAGCACCTCTATTTAAACCACTGCTATGAGAAACGGTGGTTCTTGGGTTTAGGTGCTTGGATTTGGGTTTTGGCAGGAGGCCCACCCAGGGAGCAAAGTCTACAAGACAGAGGTGGGGGATGGTACAGTCTAGCTGGGAATGACTTGATATCCCTTCCCACCTTTAAACCCCTTGCTTTTAGCAATAGGTGGGCTGAGTGCATCCTGCCCAATCCTTCTGCCCAAGCAACTCTCTCCCCTGCACCCCGCATTACCATTACTGGGACAATACCCCTCCCCTCAAGCTCTTGCACTTGTCCTGAGTCCCTGTATGTGAGGTCTGTCTACAGGAGACTCAGCATGGGCCGCACTCACAGCACTGGGTGACCGCACCCGCGGTGGTCAGGTCTCGGTACTCTCGGTACATATTGTGGGTGCCACTGCGGGAGTCATAGCGAAGCCAGATGCCAAAGTTCTTCACTCGCAGAGGGGATTTCTCGAACATCTGCGAAAAGGAGGGGACTGGCTGAACCAAAGCAGTGAGTACCGACCCCTGCCCAGCTGCCCCCAGGGGATAGGACAATTCCCAGGCCTTTCTTTTGGGTTTCCCAGTCCTGGAAGTATAGCTGGCTGTGGAGGAAGCAGAGCACTTCAGGCCAGGCTGCTTCTTCCAGAGAAGCAAAACAGCAGATGCCTCCCAAATTCAACTCTTTCCAAAACCCATTGGCCTCCCCTGGTGGCGCAGCAGCTAAGCGCTGGGTTGCGAAGCTGCGCGGCAGCCTGTGCAGCACCGGCTTGTTTGATCCCCTGCTGCCGGGCGAGGGTCCCACATGGCGCACAGACCTCTCCTGCCATGCCCGCTGCTCCCCTCAGCAGTGTATTTTGTCAGTCTGTCTGTTCTGTTCCCCGATCTGGTGAATTCTCTCACCCTCCCACGCTTCTGACTGTACCCAGTGCTTGCATAAATATTTAAAAAAAAAAGAAAAAAAACCACAAAACCCACTGCCCAGTAAAGCCTCAAGCTACATGGATCCGAAGACAGTGCCTCTCCCCATTTTACGTGAGACCCAGGAAGGCGATAGCCTCCACTAAGGGTGTCCAGCACACCCCCTGCCCCAGCTCTCCCCAGGCCTCATGCTGTCTTATAGGAAAAAGTCACTGAGACAACCATCCCATCCCAACTCGGGGCCCCAATAGCCCTAGGGACTGTATGAACAAGACCAGTGCTCCTGAAATGTAGTGACTACAGGAATGAGGAGTGCCTCACTGCAGGATGTGAATCCACTCCAGACCCCATCCTGTCTCATACATGCCATACCTGCCCACAGTAGACAATTTCTCCTGAAGACTTCTTCATCTTCTTCAACTGAGACACGAAGTACCAAAAGCGCGACTTAGCGACAACGTGATTAGGTGCAAAGATCCGCATTCGGTAGAGGGGTGGTGTGTGGCATTTGGGGGTGGGCAGGCAGCGCCCCACCACCTTGTACTCTCGCAGCTGAAATGGAAAGAGGGGTGAGGTGGGGCCAGCACATAGAGCCTGAGGAAAACAGTGGACTCATGCCACACCCTTTTCTAAGCCTGGTTATGAGAATGAGGAGACAGAGCAGAGTCCTACCCCAGGACCTGCTTGGGGAGTCAAGAGTGACCATGGGTCACAACACTGCAAGAGCCTTTCCCACAAAATGGAGGGAGAGCAGGTAAGATTAACTGAGATGCCTCTGTGCCCTTTCCTGGCTCAGGAAAGCTGGGGGTGGGAGGCCTGCTAACTTCGCTGTTGCTCCCATTCCCTTCTATTTGTGGGCAAAGCCAAGGTCTAGACCTGTAGCTTTTGACAAAGTACAGTCAGGCAGACTCTGCAGCTCTAGACAACCTAGCCACCACCCTCTTTCACTCTGGAACCAAAAAACAGTTATCAGCTTGGGATCTCCCAGCCCACTCCAGGCAGAACGCAGACTGTAATCCACAGTTGTTCCCAGGTCTTGTGTCTCTCTGAACTGCTGCCCTGCGACTTCGAGCTGCCTCAGTTTCCCCAACTGCAGTCCAAGGGGTGTGGATCCCCAAGTGAAAGCTTCCTGCTGTAGCAGATGCAAAGGTGAGGACATCTGCCAGCTACAATTCTTGTCACCTACACCGTCAGCCCCGCGGACAACCCATTCAGTAAGGGGCCAATGCAGGCCGCCTCTTCGCCAACGTGGAAACTGAGGCTGGAGCAACACATGACTCGCACTGTTTCTCTCCAGGGCCTGTTCTTCCATCTCTAAGCCACTGCGCCCTCTGACTTTGCCCAGTACTGGCCACAGAGTTATGGGTCGCACCCCAATGTCATTCGGGCTTAGGCTATTCTACTTCTCAAAGCTGCGTCAGAGAAGAACGAATACCACTACTCCACCTCACGCCAACTTTGCAAGTGAGGAAACAAGCTTGGCGGCCCGTGAAGTGTGCCTCCACGCCCCGCATCTTGTCCCATTTCCCGGGGCCCCTTGATCTGGAGCCGTCCCGGCCACGCGCCGGCTTCCCCACGCGGCGCCGGCCATGTTGGTTGCACCCGGGTCGGCGCCGGGTAACCGCGCGGGACACAGCCAGGATCCCTCACCCTCTCTGCGGCCCAGGCCACCCCCCGGGGCCCTCGCGTCGGTCCGCGCCGGGCCCCGCCAGACCCCCGCCCAGTCGCGCTCGCCTTACTGTTCCCGAGGCCTTCATGGCGTCCTCGCCACGCTCGCCGCCACACACAAAAGGAAGTGGCCGCCCTCGCGCAGCCGCTCACCAGGACTTGGCCGCAGGAAATCCCGCCTTCTCCAAGCCGCGCGCCCATTGGTTCCTCTGATCCGCGCTCAACAAGCTCGGTTTCCTTTCTCAGCCAGACCACAACTCCCAAGAGGCAACGCGGCCAGAACCTTCCGTTCCACTGCGGTAGTAAGAACCGTCGGCGCGCAGGGCACGCCGGGAATTGTAGGCACTCCCGGGGGGCCTCAGTGGCCGGCGGAGCGTCACTCTGGAATGCATTTGCACAGAACTGTACCTGGAGTACTCGGTATGTTTTGTGATGGGTTCTCTCCACTCCAGGATCTTTCTGCCGGCAGATGTGTTACACAGTGGTCTCGAACCACAGACCTGAGACTTCTCATCTGTAGAATGGGACTAAGAGAATCCCCCCATTTCAGTAACCCATGTAAAACATGATACACAGAGCAATCAGCAATTAACAATCGCTAACGTTGACAAAACGCTGGAATGCTAGTTATTATCCTTATTCGGTTCTGATTTGTGTTTCGTGGTTACAGATTTTCAATCCCCTCCACCTGCCTACCTTAAAGGCCCTAGGGGAGCTAGAATTGATCAGGTTGCAGCCCCCACCTTTGAGGGACTATGGGCTTAGCAAGTTTTTCCAGGCAAAAAGAAGCTCTTCTGGAGGGGAGACTGAAGGTGGAAAGGGAAAGAACCATAAATAAGTTACGATGTCAGACTGGAAGAAAACAAATATGAAAAGAGAATATATTGGAGGGGTTATTTACACGGGGTGGGGGAGCTCTGAATTCTACTGGCATTTTACTTTTTTATATTAACAGGTAAGTAACAACTTCACTAAGCTGTAATTCACAACCATACAATTCACCCATTTAAATTGTACAAGTCAATGCAACTCACAAGCACACATTCGTGTACATCTAGTGTAAACACAACTGTGCAACCATCATCATAAATTTTTGGTGCTGGGCCTCCCTGGTGGCGCAAGGGGTTAAGACGCATCCTATGATGCTATCTGCAGCCACTGCAGCAGTTTGATCCCTGGCGGCCAGGGAGCTGCCCACATGGTGCAGTAGACCTCTCCTGTCTCGCCCGCTGCTCCCCTCAGCAGTGTATTTCAGTCAGTCTGCCTGTTCTGTTCCCCACTCTGTCGCTGGTGAATCCTCTCCCCACCACCACCACCTCTGGCCTGTACCCCAGTTATTGTATGCATAAATAAATAAATCTTTAAAAATAAATAAATAAATAACTTTTGGTGCTAATTTTAGTTCCATCATCCCCAACAGAAGTCCCTTACCATTAACAGTCACTTCCCACTCACTCCCCGTCCCCCAGCCCTCGTCAACGAAGAAATATACTTTCTGCTTCTATGGAGTTGCCTCTTCAAGACAAAATTCTCAAAAGTGGAATCATACAAGGGCTTCCCCGGTGGCGCAGCGGTTGAGCGCTGGGTTGCGAAGCTGCCCGGAGCCTCTGCAGCGCCGGTTCCCTCCCCGGCTGCTCCCCCGCAACTGGAGGAGGGTCCCACATGGCGCGCAGACCTCTCCTGCTGACCCCTGCTCCCCTCAGCAGTGTACTTCGGTCCTTCTGCCTGCTCTGCTCCCCGCTCTGGCTCTGGTGAGTTCTTTCACCCTCCTGCACTTCTGACTGTACCCAGTGCTTGTATAAATAAATAAAAATAAATCTTAAAAAAAAAAATTTGAATCATACAAAATGAGATCTTCAGTGATCAACTTCTTTCACAGCATGTGATATATCCTGGACAACTACTTCATTTCTTTTTTACTACTAAACAACATTTTACTCTAAGGATATGTTTTGTTTATTCATTTGTTTATGGAGGTTTCCTTTGTTTCCATTTCTTGGCTATAGTGAATAATGATGTAAACAATATTTGCATACAAATCTGCTAGCATATCCTTACATTTCTCTTGGGTATGAGACTAGGAGTAGAATTGTTGGGTCACATGGTAATTCTTTGTTTAACTTTTTTTTTTCTTCCAAAGATTGATTAATTTATGCATACAAGAACTGGGATACAGGCCAGAGGTGCGGTGGTTAGGGGGTGAGAAGATTCACCAGAAACAGAGTGGGGAACAGAACAGGCAGATCTACTGAAATACACTGCTGAGGGGAGCAGCAGGGGAGACAGGAGCTGACTGCTGCGCCTTGTGGGCTGCTTCCTGGGGGCCAGGGAATCAGAAATCAAACTCTTGCTGCAGTGGACTCTTGCTGCAGCGGCTGGCTATAGCTTGATAGCGTTGTCTTTAACCCTTTGCACCACCAAGAGACCCTGTTACAATTATTATTCCATTCAGTTGTGTGTCAACGA